CAAAGGGAATCTATCGTTGCACCAGTGCCAATCACTCAGTCTATGGATTATGCAAAATGTAAAGAGGTAATGGATGATGAAGAATTTCTCAAGCTGATCAAGAAGAGTGATTTTAAGATTATGGATCAGCTAGTGCAGACTCCTTCGAGGATTTCAATCTTGTCTTTGTTCATGAGCTCGCCCGCGCACATATTGGCTTTGTTGAAGGTTTTGAATGTTGCCCATGTAATCCATGATATTCCTATGGAACAGTTCAATGACGTGGTCGCAAACATAACTGCAAGTCGCTATTTGGCTTTCAACAAGTCAGAGTTACCTCCTGAAGGAACTTCGTATGATAAAGCATTACATATATCGGTGACTTGCATGGACGCCTTGGTATCTCGTGTCCTTGTGGATATCCGTTCTTCTCTCAACATGATGCCTAAGGGCGCGTTGGGTCAACTACCAGTAGTAGGGAGCGAGATGAGGCTGAGCTCTTTCATTGTCGATTTGCCATCTACTAACCATGATGCACACTTGTCAACAATATCTCTTTGCTCCACGCTCACCACACCACTTGTTGTGAATTACGACAAAATTCAATATCAATTTATGAGGCAAAGAATAATAACAACCAAAATAAATGATCTTCAACAATAATAATCCATACACAAATAATATAACAGAATAAAGCAAGAAAAAATCGAAGGCTTGTTTACCCAGTTCAATCAAACGATCTACTATGGGGGAAAGAACAACTCTCAAATTCACTATACTCAGAAAGTTGTTATAATAGATTATAGAAGAGTTACAAGAAAATAGCCTTCGCCTTCAGGTTCCCAAGAACAACCCTGAAGGTGCCCAAGAACAACCCTATTTTCTACCCAAGTGTTTCCCTACCTTTCCAACTCTCAATATATGAATCACTCAAACTCAATGTGTAATCTGAAACCATATGCTATATATTTATAATAGCAAATACCCAACAAACAAAGGCCAAAATCACATGGATCCATGAACCGAATCGAAAAAAGCCCGAAAACTCGAAATACTATTCACTATACAGACAACACTATTCACCGCACGGACGTCACTATTCATCTATACGGATATAACTATTCTACGTACGGACGACACTATTCACCGATCGATTTTTTTCTTCGACTTTTCATCCGACTTTCTAAAACTTCTGATTTTCGCGGTAAATGCAATGTCCAAATATATTTTCTTTTTCTTCATCAACAAAGATTTTAAGACACATTTACATATATATATATATATATATATATATATATATATATATATATATATATATATATATATATATATATATATATATATATATATATATATATATATATATATATATATATATATATATATATATATATATATATATATATATATATATATATATATATATATATATATATATATATATATATATATATATATATATATATATATATATATATATGCGCGCGCTTTGTATTTATAAATAGACCTTCATTGCATTGGATGGTCTACTCCATAGTTACCATGTATTGTACATATATTTATATTTGGAAGAACCAAACCTTTGACATGTGAGACTTCCTGCTTTTGCGGCTAGTGGCTGTCCTAGCGTGTATTAAAAAAATCTCCTTTCTTTTTCTTTTTGATACTTTTTATAGGTCAAGAATCAAATACTAATTATTAATAACATGATGAAAGGTGGAACATGTTGTTCTTTTGGTTAAGATATGAAACTATTTTAAATTTTATTCTGAAAGGAGAAATTCAATTATTATAGAAGTTATATATAAAGGGGAGTGAACAAGTATATTTTGATATTCTACCTTTCGTATAAAAGATTAATACATACCTCACATATCATATAGTATGATTATTTTATACATAAGTCATATATTGTATAATTTAATCAAGACATATTAGTATATTTAATTTTTAAATTTTTTTTTAAATTATTATTTTTTAATATACTATATGATGATGATGATGAAAATTTTAAAACATTATTATCAACAAGTGAATAATTGAAATCATGTTTCATAAATGGCTTTTTTGGTCTTGTGGGTCCTAATCTCACCGGAGAATCCCCAAAACAGGGCAGTACATGATTAAAGAAAACTTGATAAAGTTAATAAATACCAATAAAATAAAACTGCATGACCCAAGTAATCTCCACATTCAAAGTGTGGCTAACCACGCCACTAAAATTAAATAATGGAAGAAATAAATAAACATTACCAAAACTATGCTATCAATTGATGTAGGGAATCTATGAACTTATTTACCAAAAATGGTTAATCCATTTATTTCATGCCAAGGATCTTTGTCAACAAGTTAAGAGCATTGTAGCAAGCAAAGACATAGCACACACAATTTCACTCCCCCACCCCACATTAGAATGGCAATAAAAGGCAATCCTAGTACTCATGTTTTCCCCTATAGTCATATATAGAAAATAGAAATGTATTAGTTTTTGTACCAAAAATGAAATGTTTTTATTTTGAAATTACTTTGTGTTAGTTTAGTGTACAAGTGAAAATAGGTCAAGTAGATTTTTAAAAATGTTACACTAGATTTTTTTTTTTTTTGATAAGTAATAGGTCATATTTATGCATTAATTTTTTTTAATTAAGTCTAGCCTATTTAAATAAAATTCGACTCGATTTGATCTATTCTCATGTATAATTAAGTGTATTTTTAATTTCTATTTCGGAGAATACAAAATAATTTTAAAAATATAAAATTGATTTTGACATGTCAGTTTTTTTAGAAGTAGAATTAATTTTGCTCTTGAAATTTATTTTAGTTGAATTTAGAGTTTGTAACTTTTGAGTTTAAATTTGATTTTTTTGTAATTTAAATTTGTTGTTTAATTCATTTTCACACGAGTCTATCTAAACATAAATTATCTGCATAAACAAAAATAAAAAAAGGTTAAGACTCAAAGAGCGCAAAAAAAATCTCATAAAAGTTGAATTTATCACCTGTTAGAATGAATTTAATGTCACTTCTTAATCCAAAACATTTTAGTATATGTTTGGTTTCATGTTTGGAGTATCCATTATTAATTTTAGATGTGTAGAATCAATTTTAATATATTTGTTTACTTTTGAGTAAAATTGAATCTAAACATAATTTTAAAATAACATTTATTATTTAATTCATTTTTGTAATAAATCACTTTATCTTAATATATTTTTATTCATAATTAATTTTATAAAATCAATTAACTCAAAATTAATTTTCCTCAACACACAATCAAACACATAACTAATAACTAATTATTTTAAAGAGTTAAAAATTTATTAATATAGTTATCCCCAAATTAATATTTATATTTAATTAACTTGAACAAAAATACAGGAGCATAAACATGATCATGCGTGATAATTTGATGAGGAGTGCTATGATGACACCAAAGTTATTATACCGTATGTTTACACCGTAAAATTTCAGCTACATTTTGCCTGCACCATACGTTCCAATTTCCATAAAAATAATAAACAAAACCAAAAAGTAGATTGTATAGTATAAAAACAGGGTGTAGATGTAAACTTTGGTGTAATTGTATCATTTCTCTAATTTGATAAAAGAAAAGAACCACCAAACACAAATTGAGTGGAATATAAGGTGGGTTTTGGGACCCAAACTACAAATCAAGATAAAAGGAATATAATCTTAAAACAAAATCAAGTAAATAAATAAATTAATTCAAAAGTAGTTAAATGAGATGATAAAAATTCTCATTTAATTTAACTATAGATTTTAAGTTTGAATCTAATAATGCAATTAAGCCATGTTAATCTTGTTTAAATTTGAAACAAAAATAATAATAAAATAACAAATATAAATAATATTCTTAAAACCACAACTATCATTTTAAAAAATAAATTTTGTTTTAAACATCAAAGTCTTCGGTTCTATTCGGTCTTTGTATTGAGTCGGTTTATATATAACAATGTTCTGATTTTAAATGAAATTTCCATTAATATATGATAGGATTGATTTTCTTAAATTAATCGATCGCAAAATTTAATATCAAAATTTCTTTTAAAAATTTAATAAAAATATAATATCTTATTATATTATCATGGCATTTTTTATCCGTGTAACGTCGAGACGACAATCATTTTAAAACGGAGCGAGGATAAGAAAGCCCTACATCTTTAATGAGTTGTTTTTAACCATGCTTGTCTGTGATTGATTGCTTCAGCTCATATTTTCATGTCGGCTTCTCACATAAAGCAAAGGAAATAAAATCAAAAAATAATCAAAAGCTGTCTTCCTTTTGTTCACTTCTCTCTGATTTCCCGGCGACAAGTCAGTTTCCTTCAGCTTTGCTCCTTCAGACATCAACCTGCTCCTACCTTAATCCTCACAAAAACTACTTCCCTCCCATTTTTGTTCTTTTCCTTACTTCTTCTCTTTCTGTTTTTTGCGTTTATGGGACTTTTGCTCCTGTTGGTGTCTTAAAGGTGATTCCTTTTGTCTTTTTCAGTGTTGGGTTTTGTTTTTTTTCCTTAAAAAAACAATTTTTTTGATGTAATTGTTGAAATGGTTGTGTTTTACAGATTTTGGTTACTTGGGCACATTCAGTTTTACTTGTGGATTAGTTGCAAAGTACTGGTTTTTGGATTTTTGAGAGTGTGATTCTTCAACCAGAAAGTGGGTGCTTTTATGTTGAGTTGTTTCTAGTTGTTGAAATTGGGGACTTTTATTTGGGTTTGGACCAAAGAATTTAAGAGTGGCATTTTATTTTTTTGGGGGAAAAAGGTGAAGTTTTTGTTGACTCTGATATGTTATTATCAAAGTGGGTTATTGTTGTTGTTCTTCATATAGTTGTGAGTTTTTGAGGAGGTTTTGGTGCTATTTTTGGAGGAAGTGTTGAAGTTAAAATTGTCATTTGTTGAATACTTGAGGAACAAGGTGAAATCTTGTTGAACTTGTTTGAAGGGTCCTCTTCTTCATCTTCATCATCATCATCATCATCATATTTTTAGGTCATAATGAAGGCTCCTTCTAATGGTTACTTGCCTAATTCTGGTGAAGGTGTGTTTTCTTGAGTTTTATTTGTAACTTCAATATGTTCTCTCTTTCTTTTGTGTTTACTAATTTTTGCATGATAGTCTTCTTCTATAGCAATCATTTATATAAAGATCTCAAGATTAACCATTTGTACAAAAGTATGGTCCTGGATAGAACATTTTGACGAAAGTCGATCCATGTAGTTGAACTCAGTTAATGAGATAAGGCTTGATTGTTGTTGTAGTCTTCTTCAACTGACTGCTTGAAGAAACTTCTCCCCTCGATTACTTTATAGTTCTATCTGGAACATTCTACAAGCCGAAATATTAGTTTTTATTTGCCTGTGTCATTTTCATTTCGAACTACCACTAAATTTGTTTGTGCATGTTAAATAAGTGATGTGTTTTTTGTGCTCAAAGCATGCTGTGTACTATTTGAGACCTTAACCGATGTTGTTAGATCTAAAAAAATAGCAGTTTGTTCAATTTCCGCAATGCGACAGTGCTATTGTGCCGCAATAATCACTTTTTGACATCACTTTGTACTGAATAGCGTAATCGTGAAACAAATTTAAAAAGTTAAGTTTTATGGTTTACTACCATTTGTATCTTTCTCGACAATTTAACTCGATTCGTGTCACTGTAGGAGGGGAAAGGAAGACCATCAATTCAGAGTTATGGCATGCTTGTGCCGGGCCATTGGTTTCTATACCTCCTGTTGGAAGTCTTGTTGTTTACTTTCCTCAAGGACACAGCGAGCAAGTATGTTTTCAATGCTATAGTATCTCTTTGTCTTGGTTTCGATACAAATTTTTCTTTCTTCTTCTAACTACTATAGCTTTTAGGTTGCAGCATCAATGCAAAAGGAGGCAGATTTCATACCAAGTTACCCTAATCTTCCATCCAAGTTGATTTGCATGCTTCACAATGTTGCTCTTCATGTAGGTCTACTTTTCTCATGTCAATAAGCCGTTTTTTAGCTTATTTCCATAAGCTCTTAAAGACACCTTATGATAACTGACTTATATGAAAATAGTTTGACTTCATTCTTCTATTTGTGGATCAGGCTGACCCTGAAACCGATGAGGTCTACGCTCAGATGACCCTTCAACCTGTAAATAAAGTAGGTCAGCTGTTTAATCTGATAATCTATCGATATGTATTATTTCCTCTCGGTCAATCAATGTTCTTGAAACCGATAATTTATATCTTATTCGATGTACTTCTCCTACAGTATGATAAGGAAGCAATGTTGGCTTCAGACATGGGTCTAAAACAAAACCAACAACCTACTGAATTCTTTTGCAAAACTCTAACAGCTAGTGACACTAGCACTCATGGTGGTTTTTCAGTGCCTCGTCGAGCTGCCGAGAAAATATTCCCACCTCTGGTGTGTATACAACTTTTTTCGTTTACTATGGCATGGATTGAAAAATTCATGTGATGTACTTATATGCTGACCAGAATCGTGTTTGATAGGACTTTTCAATGCAACCACCAGCTCAGGAAATAGTTGCCAAAGATTTGCATGATACTACATGGACGTTTAGACATATTTATCGCGGTATTGCGACTTTTACCTATTTCAGTTTTCCTTCGTCAGTTAATATATTATCACTTGTTTTGTAAAATTGCATCAACTTTTTTAACAGGACAACCAAAGAGACATCTATTGACTACTGGTTGGAGTGTCTTCGTTAGCACGAAAAGACTCTTTGCCGGAGATTCTGTTCTTTTTATCAGGTAATGATCGTTTTTTCCAATGAAACATCAGAATTAATTTTCATGTTGTTGATAAACAATCATTTTTTGCTTATTTGTAGAGATGAAAAGCAGCAACTTCTTTTAGGTATAAAGAGATCCAGTAGACAGCAACCAGCACTATCTTCATCAGTTATATCGAGTGACAGCATGCATATTGGCATTCTTGCTGCTGCGGCTCATGCTGCTTCGAATAACAGCCCATTTACTATATTTTATAATCCAAGGTAATATTTGGCATACATTTAATATGATGATAACATGGAATGACATCGGTAAATTTTTGCGACGGCCTCTTAAGTACAGACATATTTTATTTTAACAGGACCAGCCCGTGCGAATTTGTGATTCCATTGGCCAAGTATAATAAAGCCCTGTACACTCATGTTTCCCTTGGAATGAGATTCAGAATGATGTTTGAGACCGAGGATTCGGGAGTACGTAGATATATGGGCACAATCACTGGGATTAGTGACTTGGATCCTGTTCGATGGAAAAATTCACAATGGCGCAATCTTCAGGTATTGTCAAGTTGTATGTTTCATCAAGAAAGAGATGGGTTATTTGTATAACTAACTAGGCATGAAACAAAACCATTTATGTAATGTTCTTAAATTATCCCATTTTTTGAGAAGTAACTTCTAACATGCATTGTTGTTTACTATCCTGCAATGTAATCTATAATGTAGCACTAACACTTCAGGTTGAAGATGTGACCGAGTGTCCAACATGTGCCGGTGTCTGACACTCGGATGACAATGACACTTGTGTATACATTTAATCACTTTCATGTCATGAAATTATTATCAGCGTCGTGTTTGGTGTCCGTATCTGTATTTCTTAGTCTATATGTACTCAATACGTTATGTTTTAAATTATGATAGGTTGGATGGGATGAATCAACAGCTGTATTTCTTAGTCTATATGTACTCAATACGTTATGTTTTAAATTATGATAGGTTGGATGGGATGAATCAACAGCTGGTGAACGTCCAAGCCGAGTTTCGATTTGGGATATTGAACCAGTTGTGACTCCTTTCTACATTTGCCCGCCTCCGTTCTTTAGGCCTAAGTTCCCCAAACAACCAGGGATGCCAGGTAGGAAGAGTCGCACCTTACTCATTCAAATTTTGTTCACAAATTTTTATAGGTTTCTGTTGACTCTCTACATAGCAATTCTTCGTAAGCCGCTTCCTCATTATTGAATGACAACAATTTGTTTCTATTGATTTTGCAGAAGACGAGTCAGAAATAGAAAATGCTTTCAAAAGAGCTATGCCTTGGCTCGGAGATGAACTCGGCATGAAGGATGCGTCGAGTTCAATCTTCCCTGGTTTGAGTTTAGTACAATGGATGAGCATGCAGCAGAATAATAATAATAGTCAGTTTTCTTCTCAGTCAGCGCTTCTACCTCCATCCATGCTTTCGTCAAACACACTTCACGGTAACGGTAACCTTAACACCGATGATCCATCCAAGATATTGAACTTTCAATCCCCGGCTGCGCTCTCTGCTCCAAGTCTTCAATTTAACAAACCTAATATACCAAACCAAGTCAATCAATTGCAACAGTCACCAACCCCGTGGTCTCAGCAGCAGCAACAGCAGCAGAAGATGCAGTCATTGTTGCAAACGCCGTTAAACCAACTGCAGCAACAGCAGCAGCAGAGGCAAATGCAGCTGGCCGGACCGCAAAATCTGCCACAATCACAGCCACAACAGCCTCAACTAAATCAACATAATACACAGCAGCCTCAACAACAGCAACAACAACAACAACCGAGTCAAAACGCAACTATGAATAACGGCACAGTTGGTTCTAACCAGATTTCAAATCAATGTGTGCAGCAACAAGTAGCCTACTCTCAGCTTCAGCAACAGTTACTCTCGGGAAATATCTCAACGCAACAAAATTTCCAGTCCGGTGGCAAGAATGGATTGATAATGACATCCTTACCACAAGACTCGCAGTTTCAGCAACAGATAGACCCGCAACAAGCAAGTCTCTTTCAGCGGCAGCAGCAGCAACAAACTCAATTGCAACAATCTTCATTACAGTTATTGCAACAAAGCATGTTACAAAGGGCACCACAACAATCGCAAGTATCTCAAATTTTGCCGCAAAACATCTCGGACCAACAATCACAGATGCAGCTGCTACAGAAGTTGCAACAGCAACAACAGCAGCAGCAACCTCTTTCGACGTCTTCCCCGCTTTTGCAGTCTCAGCTTATGCAGCAACAGAATACTCACCAGCAATTGCCGCAGCTGCCTATGTCTCAGCATCAACCTCAACAGCTTGGCAACAACGCGTTCTCCATGGAGAAGCTTCTCAACAACAATTACTCTTCTTCACCTCTCATGCATTCGCAGCAGCTTCCTGCAAACCATCCCCAGAATACACAAAAGTCACCAACGAATACCAGACCTCCCTCCGCTTTTACAGATGGAGACGCCCCGTCATGCTCCACTTCGCCGTCTACTAATAACTGTCAGACGTCGCCTCCAAACCCCCTGAAAAGAAATCAACCAGACACATTTGGAGGGCCTTCATTAGTTGAAACCACCAACACTATGATGCAGGAGCTTCAGAGTAAGCCTGACATGCAGAATAAACACGAATTACACGGTGTAAAAGGACCTGACAAGCAAAAGCACAAAGGGGCAATCAATGATCAGATGGAAGCTTCTTCCGGAACATCGTACAATATTGATCCCGTTAACATCCACCAGAACTTTCCACTTTCCAACTTCTACATGGATGGTGGTGATGTCCATTCACAACAACCTCGAAGTAATTTACCATTCGCCCCCAACCTTGATGGATTAACACCCGATCCTTTGCTCTCAAGAGGTTACGATTCTCAAAAAGATCTTCAAAACTTGTTGTCTAATTACGGCGGCGGTGCTCCAAGAGACATTGAAACCGAGCTTTCAACCGCTGATATTAGTTCACAGTCGTTTGGGGTGCCGAACATGTCCTTTAAGCCTGGATGCTCAAATGATATTGCCATCGCCGATACCGCGGTTTTGAACAATGGCTTATGGTCTAATCAAACTCAACGAATGCGAACATATACTAAGGTTTGTTATTACTCATTGACTAATTTATGGATCTATTAGTTTAGGCCTTGTTTGCCTAATAGTTCTTTAATTTTTTTGAAGGTTCAAAAATGTGGCTCGGTTGGAAGATGTATCGATGTCACCCGATACAAGGGATACGAAGAACTCCGAAACGATTTGGCTCGTATGTTTGGGATTGAAGGTCAGCTAGAAGATCCTCTAAGAACTGACTGGAAACTAGTATACGTGGATCACGAAAACGACATTCTTCTTGTAGGCGACGACCCTTGGGAGTAAGCACTTAATTAAATTCCTCATTGTTCATATCACATCATCTACTATTTCAAACCATATCTGTTTTATCTTCGTTAAAATCTTACAAACTCGTAATTTGTTGCAGAGAATTTGTAAACTGTGTCCAAAGCATAAAGATACTATCATCGGTTGAAGTACAACAAATGAGCTTGGAAGGAGACTTAGGTTATAATATTCCAATCACCAATCAAGCCTGTAGTGGTTCAGAAAGTGGCAATGCATGGAGAGCGCAGTATGATGATAACTCGGCAGCGTCGTTCAACCGATGATAACCGTGTTGGGTATTCACATTCTTCAGCATTCGACTTGTACACATTTAGGAAGATGGAAAAATCTAACTTAACCCTTCAAAATTTCTTCTTCTTGCTTCTTTGTATGGAAGTAAGACATTCATAAAGACGCATTTCATACATAGCTGCATCTAGGGGCGCGCGGCGGGACACTGGTTTTAAATTTAATGGTGAGAGATATTTAGATCTTTAGATGTATCAAGAACATATTTTTCTTTTTACTATAAAATGTTACATCCTTCTTTAGAACATGTTTTGTTGTAACTTCAGCTAGTACAAGTTCAATATAGATGAAAAAAATCATCTATTATTATTTTTGTCAAGTAATCTGGTGACTAAAATTTATTCTTTTAAACAAATAAATAAGTTAAACAAATAAATAAGTGAAATCTCGCAAGTTCAAACTCGTGTCTCTTGTGTTTGAATCTGATGTCTCTGTCCTTAAAATAAATGTTACTAATATTGATGCATTTTAATGTTTTATTACTAATAAATTGAAATTTTAAATAAAATGATTTGTGTTTTGGTCAAAGATTAAAACAATTTTTGAATAGGGTGATTGCATGTGGTTGTTTCTCGAACGAAGGTCCAACCGTCCAACTACTGTCATTATTGTACATATCTATTCATTAAACATTACGGCGTTGTTTTTGGGAATATGTACACACCACACATATTATTGTTCAATTATTCAAATTGTATAAAATTGATTAAAGAAAAAGTAGAAGCACATGTTGATTTACTTTATAAATATTTGATTGATACTATGTAAAGAAGAGAAGGAGGTAGTGTTAGATAGTTAAGACCAACTTGCAATTCAGTCATTTAATCTAATATTTATTTCTATACAATCTAATTATTATGACTTCAACCTAAATCAATTCATTCAAATATATTATTATTTGATTCAGATAACGGGTTTTAAAGTTTAAATCTACGAACCCGTAAATTTAACTTATTAATATGTTACACTATTATTATTTTATTTTATTTATAAATTATTTTGTCGAAAGTCTTTTATATATATATATATATATATATATATATATATATATATATATATATATATATATATATATATATATATATATATATATATATATATATATATAATTTGAGATATCATGTTTAATGAGAGAGATTTTACATTTTACATTATTTATATACTTTTTGAATTGTCAAAAAATTTAAATATTAAATTATAAATTTTATTTAAATTAAATATTAAAATTTTATAATTTTATAATATTTTTATAAAATAAATGTGCTAATTAAATTAATATTTTATTTAAATTTTAAAAATAAATTTAATAGAGGACACATGAACCCAACTCAATTCAACTCATTAATGAGTAATTTGGTTTAGTACGAATTTACTCATAAAAATATGTTAAATACTCAATCTAAACATCCTTGTCTTTCTTTAGATTTTGTTTGGCAGATTGGAGAGAGGAGAAGGAAGGGTTTTATAATTTTTTTTAAAAGAATAATTTTATATAAAATAATATTTATTATTAATATATTTTTAATATTTAAAATACTATAATAATATATATTATATTTGAACAATTATCTAAACTCAGCAAAATTGTTAAACTTTTTCTTTAATATAATTTTTTTTTGGTTATACATCAAATTAGAAAGATTTTATTTTTTGAATAAAAAAAATTCTCCAAAATTCTCCCTATCTAAATTCTTCTATTTCTTTTTACAGAGACCAACTTAAATTTATAGTGGTATTGTGGAGGTTAGTCATGGTTTATCCGTGAAAATAATAACTAAAGGCCTTATATAATCATGCTTTAAATCTAACAAATTTATTAGGAGATTTTTTTGACATGGATTAACAATGACAAATTTGAGATCATGCATTATAATCCATCTTACACACCTTTAAAAATAGTTTTGTTTTTCGCTCAATCATTCTCCTATTTTCAAAGCTCGTCTTTACCTTCACTTTCAAACTCCCAAACAGTGGCGAAGCTAGAAAATTTTCAAAGTCTAGGCAAAAATTTAAAGATCGCAAATTTATATTATATATAATATATAAATAGTTATCAATCAAAATAAAAGATCTTTAATTAAATTGGTCTCGACAGAATTTTAAAACTAACATAACATAACCATATCCAACTTGAAATTGATTCTAACATGAAACATCATTTCATGTGATTCATAATGATTCATAAAATTAACAGCAAATTAACAACAAAATTTTATTTGCTAACTACTGTAACTATAAACTAAATTTAAAAAATAATAGTTAACTAAGAATTTGTTTTTTAATTTGAGATAGTGAAAATATTATATTCTCATAAGAATAGTGGAGTGAGAATCATTTTATAACTTCTATAAATCTATGTATTTTTGTAGGTGATGAAAATTATCATATGAAGTTTTGATGACGACAACACATGATAATAGTTTTCAACTTCAATGATAATATAATCAAAGAAAGTATCTTATAAGTCATCAACAAAAGGAATCAAGATAAAAGTGTCTTTGTACAAACAAAAATTATCTAGTAAAAGTCTTGAAGCTGTGTGGAGAAAGGTGTGAAAGTTCGACAGGCCATGTCTGTCGGTCTGCCTAAGTGAATGGAGTATTGTAAATGTAAAACAGTAGCTTAAGAGTATTAAAATACATTATACACACTTAAAAATAATTTTCTAAGTCAAAACCAAGTGATTAAAAAGTTGTTCAATTTTTTCCAAAGTATTTTTAACTTTCTAATCAATTGGAAATATGTGTCAATTTATTGGTAAAGCTGTTCTAATAAGCCAGTCGATTGGAGTATTTTGACAATAGATTATAATAGTGCCAACCAATTACATATCAATAAGGATAACACATTAATGACTTGTAACAGTTCTATATCCAAATCTTCTTATTTGGACTTGCCAATCAATTGCAAATGAGTTGTCTAATCCATTGGAGTTGTCTGCCAATCGATTAGATAATCAATGCAACCTTTGGATTGTTTTATTTTTTGAATTTTCCAACCATTATATAAGAAACGCTCGCCCTCACTTTAAACCACGCCACTTTCTAAACTTTTCATATTTCTTTGGAATTTCTTTCTTTTTCTCTCTTTGAAAAATATTTCTATTCACCTTTAATTGCCTTAGTGTTACTAAGTGAATATTTACTTGTGATGAAGATGATTTTTGTAAGTGAATCTTTACCTGTGAGGGGTATGATACCTTTAAGAGATTGAGTTTGATTTTTCAGATCAACCTGTCATAAAATCTCTATTATTGATTTTATTAAAAAAACTTTATTTTAGTTATTGTGATCAGCCATAAATCTCTAAACGGCTCAATAGTTTAGCCTGAGATAAAAGTTATCATTTAGTTGGAGATAAACCTACCAAAATCTCAAGATTATATTGTAATAAGGTTTGTGGGCACAACTTTTAAAAATTCATAGTCTATAGTGAAACTCTCAAGAAGACATCTTTGGGACAAGACTATACCAACATTTAGAAATTTGTATAAATCTCTAGTGCAATCATTCTAACCACGTCTCTTTATTTTCTACAATATACTTTAAACATTTTATTTTTTCTACGATCACTCAACCAAACTTTACTAATACGATCTTAATCTAGAAATGTTAAACTCAATCACGAATTTTAATTACCATAATTCACCACCCTTCTTATGATTGAAGTCACTTGTCCAACAACTTCAGGATGTAAGTGGACCAGAAAAAACCAATTAAATCCACAATCAAAACCAAACTAAACATAAAAAAAAAAAAATTCGATTGTTTTTGGTTCGGTTTAAAAACCGAACCAAATTAATAAAAACTGAGTTGGTTTGGTTCGATAGTGGTTTTAGTTTTTAGGAATCGCCGAACCGGTGACTATAAACACCTACTTTATCTTTTACTTAACTCATTATTAAGCTCAAATTTTGTATCGGTCCAACTATTCTCCATCTTTGTTGACACTTTCTTCCTTTCAACAGAATATGCAGCAAAAATCATACTCCCAATATAAAAATAGAAACCATAAACCACAAAAATTTACTCTCACCAAAATGCTGCTTTGGTTGCACGATACCACTATTTCTCTCTCTGCCGTCCTTCTTATAGGTTATGGTTGCCCCTTGCCTTATTCGTGTTCAAGTTCTCTTCGTTAGTTTTTAACTATTTTTTTATACCTTTTTTGTTTCTTTTTCTTCAACCAATTTCTTTCTAATCCTGTTACAAAATAGTTTTGATGTGTGTTTGAGGTGTGAAACATTAATTTATGCGTATTTTGTTATTGATGTTGTGTTTTATTTGTTAAACTTTCAAATTCTTTATCAACCTTCTCATGTCAACGGCCAACTTTTGCATTCAATAGTGAACTTATTTCATGATACAATAAAAATCATGTCCATGCTTCGTATGGATTAAGAATAACTTGTAAGTTATTTGAAAAGTAGAGTATGAAATATATTATTTGAAAAAATAATAGCATAAAATATAACGAAAAATATAAGAGTAGAGAATACACGGATAAATATAATATTTGGAAAAAAAAAGTGTTGTAAACAATCAACCAAACTAAACCAAATCGGCTAGTTTGGTTTGATTCAATTTTTAAAAAACACTAAAAACGAACCAAAACAAATTGATAGAGATATCATTGTTTCAGACAAATTTTTGACTAAAAAACGATCTAAACCGAACCGGTTACACCCTTACTTCTCATTCTCAATAAATTTTAATATAGTTATTTTTATTTTAAAATTCAAAATAAATAAATATTTTTAAATATTTTTAAAATAAATTATTTATCAAACGCATAAATAAGAACAAAATTCTTAATAATAACATTTTTAGAAAAAACATTTTTAAAATAATTTAATCCTTAAAGCAAATACATATATTTTTTATTTTTTATTTTCAAAAATTATATTTAAAAAATGAAATAAAAAATAAGTTTAAATCTATAATCTATAATCTATAAGGCAATACTTGGTTTTTTG